AAACAATCCTCCTGCCTCAGCCTCCCAAGTAGCTGGGACTACAGGCATGCGCCACCATGCCCGGCTAATTTTTTCTATATAGTTTTAGCTGTCCGATTAATTTCTTTGTATTTTTAGTAGAGACGGGGTCTCGCTCTTGCTCAGGCTGGTCTTGAACTCCTGAGCTCAAACAATCCGCCCGCCTCGGCCTCCCAGAAGTAAAAATTTTTTTTTAAAAAAATTACGTAGGCATGGTGGTGCATGCCTGCAGTCCTAGCTACTCAGGAGGCTGACGTAGGACGATCGCTTGAGCCCAGGAGTTGGTGGCTGTAGTGAGCTATGATTGTACCACGGCACTTCAGCCTGGGCAACAGAGTGAGACCCTGTCTCTGCGGGGAAAAAAAAAACAACAAAAAAAAAAACGAAAGAAAAAAGCCTTGGAGTAACGAGGACACCAGAGCTTCCTAAAAGAACAGGCATTTCTTGAATTAGGAGAGTTGAGGGAGCAGCATGAACAGTGTAAAGCAATTGCCCTTTTAATTTCAGGAAGTCAAGAGGCAAGTTTAATTTCTGGACCTGAAGGGCATGTACAGGTGTCTTTGGCAAGCACTAAACCCACGACGCTCAGTGCCACGCAGGCTTGCCTCCTCTTCCAGGTTCCCAGCCAAGATGAGAAGTTACAATGAAAGAAAGCGAAAACTTTGTAAACTATAAGCTCGATGGAAGGGTAAAGTGGAATTATGACGAGCGATTTATATTAAATAAGCCTGACGGTGCTGTGGCACAGGAGAGGGATGCGCAGAACCCAGCAGGGCTATCAGCTACTCTGCAGGGTCGCTCACACCCAGGGGCTGGGTGTATCTGAATGATCGCGTTTCCTGTCACCTTGACTTGGTGCCTTTTGAAAAACAAGGGGCCACCTTCGAGAGGGCCAGTCCCAGACCTGCCCTGGTGCGTGCCTGCCAGGCCCAGCTCCCAGTGTGCCACCTGACTCTGCAGTCAAGAGGCGGTGAGGTCATTTTGGTGTAAAAGCTCACCAGTGAGACAGACTAACCCAGAGTCAGGGCCGGGAAGGCAATGCCGAGCGGGGGCCTGACGTTCTGAAGAACAGCGCGATTCCGCATCAACACAAATCACAGCTTTGCCCTCTGCTCTCTCCTGCCAAAGCTGTTTATTTGGCAGGTTTTCCAAATAATCGCCCCATAAGCAGATCCTGCCTCACCTATCGCAAGTTCTGGAATGTGATTCAGTAAAACATGAAGCTTAAATTCAGCTTCCTTTGCTTACTTACAGGGGATGGCCCGGACCCCAGTACACACCGATGCCTGCCCGCGCCCTCCTCCGCCCATTACTGGAGCAGCAGCCATCAGTGTACACGACGACAAAGTCTCCTGTGGGAGGGAAACAGTAAGCGTGCCGCGTCAACACTGCTAAGAACTGAAATCACCTCAGCATTTCGCTGTGGCTGAGTTAGCATTTTACACTCAGAGGGCATTTTACAACGTTGTAGAAGTTTCCTGTCTAGGAAAACAGGATCGATTCCTTACATGGGGCACTGGACACTTTTTGCTGGAAATCACTTATATCTCGGTCTCCCGTGCCAGGCCAGTGCAGGGCAAAGGCAGACACTTTGTAAACGAGAATTCACTGCCTTGAGAACTGCTGCTCACAACCCGCGCTGAGGTGTCAAAGGACAAATAAGCCTGTCCTTCCTATGCACGGTCACCTTCACTCAGAAAAGCCGTCCACCCAGAGACGAGCAGCAGTCAGCATGACGGTGACCCTGCCCGCCAGGAGGCCCGGTCCTCTGACCAACCCTGCTCTCATGCCTTCCCCGGCGTTATCTGCCACCAGTCAAGCACGGCCCCATCTTAGCTTCTTTCCATCAAGGCAGAGGTTGTGATCGACATACCAAGGCTGCAAAGCACAAGGTGGAAAAGGACCGACAGGGGACCACTCTTAGGCCACTGGTGACCAGCAAACACTTTGAGCAGCATGGTGGGAGCAGAAGTCAGGTGGCAGAGTGTCAAAGCGCAGGGTGTGGGAGCAAACAGAGGCGGCAGGCGTAGGAGGCGTTTGCCGAAGGACGGCAGACCGAGCACAGCAGAGGCGAAGGGGAAAGGATGGGGCCATGTCCTCACAGGAGCGGGCTGGGAGCCTGCAGTCACACGGGTATCAGGCAAGGCTCCTCGGTCCCCCTGGACCTTGATTCTATCAGCACAACTACAAACGGCCTTGCCAGCCACTGAATTGTCTCAGCTGTGAGCACCTACTATGGGCCCTTCGAGCAGCTGTCAGCACACTGCAAATGGCTCATGTCCCTACTCCTCCACAAGGACTCGCTTCAATTCCTACCAGTAAATAACCAAATGAAGAATACTTGATTTTTTTTTTTTTTTTTTACATAACTGCAAAACTGATCTAAAATATAGCTTGATAAAACATTTTCTATTGGCTTCCCTTGAATTAAATTAGAACCTACAAATATACTGATTTATATAAAAAATGCTATTTTTATTTTCTGTTCATACATGTAAAAGACAAAAAGGAGACTTATATACCCTAAGTCACTAAATATACAACTGATTCCTGGAGCTAAAGGTAGAAGAAAAGTTCATTATTATTTTGTTTCTTAGGATATGGTAGGATCTCTTATGTTTTGCAAATAGTAAACACAAACGGTTAAAATTCTGGTGGTAATTGATTTTAACAAGCGGCTCCCTCTAGGGCCTTTGTTATTTAAAGAAGCTAAAATCTTGGCATTTCCTTGCCTTAGTGACTAAGTACTGTGTGCAGAGGGAATGTCTGCCTGGCTTTCAAACGATTCCAATGTTTTTCATTTCTAGTCTATAAAATGGTTTTCCCAAGACATCCAAAAGTTTCATTCTGCACTACTTGGTCAATTATCATATTCAATAGTGACCACAGTAATCTGTAAATAACCTTTACAGGTAAGAATGAGGATGATTAACAGCAGCTCAAATTCCCCCAGAGGAAAGTGGAAAAAGTTTTTACATAAATATTTTCATGATTGTTATATTAAAAGTCAAAAAATCAAAAAAATATACCCATATAACAAAAGGTGTCTTTGCTAACTGGAGGGGCGGATTCTGTGTCCTGTTTTACATGCTTTGCACACGGCTCTGCGCTTTCATCTTCATCCACTGCCTCACGGGGTCGCTTGCTGGCTTTCACTGGTGATTCCTGTACATGTTTATTCTTCTGCCCTGAAAAACAGAGTCTACGCGTGAGCCAGAAACGATGAACATGACACGAAACGCTTAAGAATGAAGAAATCTGGCTGGGCATGGTGGATCATGCTTATAATTCCAGCACTTTGGGAGGCCGAGGCGGGAGAGGTGGGAGGATCCCTTGAAGCCAGGAGTTTGAGATCAGCCTGGGAAAGGCAGTGAGACCTAATCTCTTAAAAAAAAAAAAAAAAAAAAGGAACTAGCCTTCGTTAAGATTTAGAGTACTTAATAAACAGAAACATACTTATATTGGAAGAATTGAGATATGACTAAATTACTAATTGGTTAAAAACAAAATATCTGTGAAAAGGGACTATTAAGAACCCAACCCCAACCAAGAAGACAGGAGTCATACTTTTAAAGTTGTTTTCTGTCCAGAACTGATTTCTCCATCTGGGTAGAAAACATAACCATCACACCAGAAGCCCCTTTAACAGCCACTGGGGAGGGAGAGGGTGAAGCAGAAATGCACTGAACGATGGTCTCCCTGCCTCTGGACGAGCCCTTAGGGGTTGGTTCTGAGCATGACCTGCCTCTCTCTGAACCATGCTTTGTCCAGGATTGTTCTGACATCCCAAAGGAGCAGCTGTTTGGTGTTCGAGCATCAAGCTCTGTGCATCAGGCTCTTTGCTCTGTGGAGAGCACAGAGACTTTTCAAGAGAAACTGATTAAAACTCTGCTCTTCTCAGTCTTAATCCCCTGCAGTAAAAAAGTGTGTAAGTTAACGAAAAATCACTTCCTCGAGGTAGTTCAGATACATTTTTAAAATCTTGTGCTCTAATGTAGAGTCACCTCGCTTATCTTAGTCCTGCGTATCTGATGTCCCTTATATTAGGCCTTAAACTTCGAATAACCATACTTTCTGTAACACATGAAATTGGAAGAAATTTCGATTGTACAGTTCTGTCTTAAATAAAAAGGAAACATCACAAGGGTGTGTGCGATGAAAAGAACCACACTCGTCTATTTAAAACCACAGCCCATTCAGTCCAATAACAGTGCAAGCTTTTTTAAAAAGACAAGAAATTATGGCACAGTGAGGTCACTGAATGCAACAGGGGATCTGAGTCCTGCTTGTCTCTAATATTGCTACTGACACGAACCGCTATTCTTAACTGCTTCCAGCCTGTTTCCTAATTTGTAAAATGAAAACAATCACAGTATCTTCTTTATGTGCCTAAAAGGTAGCTATACAGATCAAATGACATCTGGGATTTGAAAGGCTTCAAATACGTTAAAATGTCACACTGACGTGACAGGTGACTACCTTCTGAACCGTCTGGGCTTGCAGAGTTCCTGACGAAGGCCCAGGCCTCATCTTCTGTAGCAAACTTCTTAAATCTGGCGGCAGGAAACCGGTCCACTTGTGCTTTGCAGTCATTCCTGGAAAAGATATACAGTATTATTACTGTCTGCCTTCCTTCCCTTTAAGTGATCTGCTTTTTAATTGATTAATATTCTCTTCTCAAGTTGGGAATGCAGCTGTCCCTTGGTATCCAAAGGGGATTGGTTCCAGGATTCCCCCTGCCCTCCCGACAGATACCAAGATCAGAGGAGACCCAAGTCCCTTAAATACACTGGTCTATTTGTATATAAACTACGCACATCCTCCTGTATCTCTAGATTACCTATAATAACTAATACAATGTAAATGTTATGTAAATACTTGTTATACTGTATTGCTTTTTTTTTTTTTTTTTTGGAGACAGGGTCTTGCTCTGGCTCCCTGGCTAGAGTGCTGTGGCGTCATCATAGCTCACTGTAAGCTCAAGGTCCTGGGCTCAAGCGATCCTCCTGCCTCAGCCTCCTGAGTAGCTGGGACTACAGACGCACGCCACCGCACCTGGCTAATTTTTCTATTAAATACTTTTTGTAGACACAAGTTCTCGCTGTTGCTCAGGCTGGTTTCAAACTCCTGACCTAAAGCCATCCTCCACCTCGGCCTCCCAAAATGCTGGAATTACAGGTGTAAGCCACTGCACCCAGCCTCCCATATTGTCTTTTTATGTGTTTTTTAGAATTGTTTTATTTATTTATTTATTTTTGAGACAGGGTCTTGCTCTGTTGCCCAAGCTACAGTGCAGTGGCATCATCATAGCTCACTGAAACCTTGAACTCCTGGGCTCAATTGTTATTATTGTATTTTTTATTATTTTTTTCCCCAAATATTTTTGAGCCACGGTTGGTTGGCTCCAAGTTTGTGGACTGTAGATACAGAGGAGGGACTGTGGTGTGAAAAAGATGGGCTGTCAGTTCCTTGGAGGCAAAGGGTCATACTTTACAGTTCCCAGTTTTATCTTGCACATCACTCTACACCCTATGTTCTACTGTATGCCAGCCAGCCAGTACACAAGCCACCATAAGGCTTTCCTCAAACTCAAAGCATACTAAAATTCTGTGGTCTTTATAAAAGAAATTCTCTTAATCATTCCATTACAGCAAAAAGTTCAACTTCTGAGATGCTTCTTCCTCAATACTATAGCATAGGGAAACACAGATAATAAATAAACCTGGATATAGCGCAGTGGGAAGAGTTTTGGTCGTGGAATCAGAACACCTGGGCTCCAGTCCTATTTCTATCATTTACTTGCCCTGTGAGCTTCCTGGCCACTGGAAATACACCTGATGATGAGAATAATCTCACCCACCTCCAAGGATCGTTACAGGGATCCAATTGTAAAAACCAGTTTATCATTATTTCTCTTTTTAAAAACACAGGGAAGATTACGTACGGTACTGCGTTCCAGCTCCAATTTAACTGGTACGGAAAATCTGGCAATGTTGGCTGGCACCGATTTACGTGTTTTGGGAATTCTCTAATTGCAACAACAAAAAAAGGATTATATACAGATATACAGGCCCCTGGCTACCCTCAAGCTTTATGTGGCATTTTTGGTATTCCAAACAGAACTTCACCGGAGGCGCGCCTCCAGGCCAGGAGCCTCCCGGAACACGTCTGCCGGGCAGGGAGGCGGGCGCAGAACCGACCTACCCACAGAGTCCGGACGCGGCACACGCCACGACAGCCAGGCTCCCGCCGCCGGGTTCACCGAGCGCCGGCAGGCAGCTGCCTCGGGGGGAGGGCCACTCACCAGGTCAGAAAGACCCCGGTCCTGCGGCCCCTCCTCACGGCATAGAACATCCCGAGCCCGCAACAGCCACGGCTGCAGTGCACGGCGGCCAAGGCGACTCTGTGGGCCAGCGACAGCAGCCTTCCCATCGCTCACTCCCAGGCACCGAGCAGCATCTTGGCTCCAGGCCACAGGCGGAAAGAGCCCCCACAACGCCCAACAATCACACTTCCGCCGGCGGCGCACGGAGATGACGTGCATCCGGGCTGTTGCCCGTGAGGAGGGGGAGGAGCCTAGGGAAGGGCGGGGTCTAGGGGAGGTGGGAGCGGGGCGGAGCCTGGAGCCTCGCGCCTTTTGAGCTCGTCAGTCTCCCCGATATCGATTAGAAAGTAAGACCCCAGTGAGATCCCGGAGTGGGGTCACGTGTGGGGGGGCGGGGCCTGGCGGGGGTCCTGGAGCCCGGCGAGCTCCGGGGAGGGGCGGAGCCTAGAGAGGGTCGGGGCTGTGGGCGGAGCCCAAGGGGCGGGGACGGCGCGCCTGCGGGCGGAAGCCCCCGCCCCCCAGGGAGGCCGTGGCGGGTGGTTGTGGGGGTGGGGCCGCCGCCCCTGTCCGCCGAGCGGCAGAAAGACATTCGGATTCACAAAGAGTGAATAAGTACAGACGGAGGGGAGAAGAGGGTGCCGTTTCTTGGGTGCACACCTCTGGAGAGTGCGGGCCCCTGTCCCCAAGCCCCGCAAGTGGGCATTTAACCAGGGGGTGTGCGGCGAGGAAAGTACTGGGAGCCAGGGGGAAATGTACTTGGGAAGGCGATGTGTCGGAACTCTGCTCAGTATTTGACTTTTTGCTCTGTAAGCAAATCAAATCCTTTTAAAAGTCTTCTCCATTGACAAGCTTTGTTTTTCACATTAATTTTACACTACTTTTCTTTAAATCTCAACGACCCCTTTTGGACACCTGCTGTGTGCTATGTCACGCTCTGGGGATACAAGGGCCAAGCGCCCAGGAATCCCCGGAGAAGAACGTGTCAGAGAATAGACTGCAAGGTGGAACACGCTGCTTGAGAAGTACGTGCCAGACAGAGCAGACAATAACCGTGCCTGGAAGGTCAGGTGAGACCTAACGTCATGACCCAGTGAAGTTTTGAAGGCTAATGAAAAAAAAAAGTTCGTTCACATGAATTTCACTTAAAGGAGGATGCATATTGCAGGAAGAAGAGATGGCCAGGCAAAGGTGAGACGTCTCTTAGTGTGATCGGATGAGTTCTTATGTGAACTCACGAAACATAAATTTTAAACATTTCAGCCTTTCTAATTTGAATTAAAATTGGCTATAGCTTTTATTCCTCGTTTCTTTTTATTTATTTATTTTGAGACAGAGTCTCAATCTGTTGCCCAGACTAGAGTGCTGTGGCATCAGCCCAGCAAGTCCTAACTAGGTCTAACCCCAAGAGAAGCTGGTGGGGACGGGTACAGCTGTCAGGTCATCCTGAGAGTGGTCCCTGGGACATCTTTGGGTTTCATGAGATAGATATCTACACAAAGACATATCATCAATCATTAATTGACTTTTAAGGGCAGCTGTGTATGTGTGCATGTGTAATAAGAAGACGACTTGAAGTGAGACAGAAATAAGGAATAAGCTGGGTGCAGTGGCTCACGCCTGTAATCCTAGCACTCTGGGAGGCTGAGGCGGGAGGTTGGCTTGAGCTCAGGAGTTCAAGACCAGCCTGAGCAAGAGACTTGAAGTGAGACAGAAATAAGAAATAGGCCAGGCGTGGTGGCACACACCTGTAGTCCCAGCTATTTGGGAGACTGAGGCAGGAGGATCGCTTGAGCCCAGGAGTTGGAGGTTTTTGTGAGCTAGGCTGATGCCACAGCACTCTAGTCTGGGCAACGGATTGAGGGTCCCCAGGACCCCTATCTGGGTAGACCTGGAGGCCAGGATCAGAGTGGCGGAAGCAGCCTACTGACACTCAGGTGGCTGTTCACAGCCAATGAAGGACACAGCTGAGAGGGGAACAGGGAAGGTGCCTGCCTTGTGAGGTTTCCTCTTTTTTATGAGAGAAACAGATTCAGCAGCTGCATCACCTCAAACATTATTCTCTCATATTGTCAGATAAAGCAAGTAATTGTATGTATTTATATATTTAGGAATCAGGGTTTTCATTATAAGAGAAAAGGAGATGCAGTTATCGAATCAAGGATTTCAGAAGCAACACTGTCCTATTAGGCGTGGATTGGTAATATCAATATGAACCTGTATCTTCATATGAAAATATAGTTTTAAAAATGCAACTCTATTAGCCCTGCCCATTGAAATGGCTTCAGAGGACCCCCATCATGCATCCTAGTGCCAAGATTCTGGTTTCCAATATTATTTTTCCAAAATAAATAAATAAATAAAAAGAATCAAGGCTTCTTGGAGAAAAGGCTCATTCCATGTCTGGGGCAGAAAAGTACAAAAAGCCTGGAACATCTTGCAGCAGAAAGCAAGATGTTCAGACATTACTGGAGATGACAGGACATGGGCACTAATCTAAAAGGGGGTCCTACCGGCCACACTTAAGTGAGACCACTTAAGCATCGAGGGAGAATGTTACCTGAGGTTGACCAACGTACAGTAAAGCTGGAAAGTTCTTCATCCATAATGATACACAAAAGAGTTAACAAAGTCTCTAAAAGTAAGTGAATTGGATAGATGATATTTCCGAGTTGGCAATCATGTTGGTATCATTGACTTATTGTACTTTTAAAGAATAAAAAAACTAGTAAATATATAAAGAAACTAATAAGACTAATATAAAAATTTAATGTTACAGTTAGAAGGCATTTCCCAACAAATCTTAGTAGAATGATCACATAAGTTGTGGCTATGATCCTAAAAACACCTATTTAATATACGCTGCAACATTCTATCAAGTTCTAAGTTTTTAGAATTACATTTATTAGAATCCCATGAGGTTCAAAGAGTTAGAAAAAAATTTATGTATTTTAATTGCTTGATGCTTTCGTGGGAGCCACAGAATTTCTAGTAGTAGAAATAAAAATTAGGTAATGTCTGTAACTTGAAACCAGAGAAGTGGGCTAAGTGGTCACTTCTCTCTTGAAGTTACAAGATCATTAACAAAAGCACCACCACTGGCTCAGCACATTCGATTAGGGTTACGAACAAGAATCCAGACAGCCTGTCTCCTACGTCTGTAGTAGATAATATCAATCAGCTGCTAAGCTAACTACCTTCCTCAGGTTGCTAAGCAGTTTTTAATCTGGAAAGATTTAGAATTAAGATAGAAATGTTTATGAGAATTAGACCTACTATACAAACATTTTTTTGGTTACGAGAGAAACAGTGCATATTTGTTCTTTTGTATAACCATAACGCAAGGGATAATTTGGCCTGTTTAGAGTAACAGTCCAGCAGCAATTATTTGAAATGTATATTTGAGTAAAAGATTTAGACCAGTCATGTTTAGGTGAAGCCTAGTTATTTCAGTATTGAAATGCGTAAAGAAACCTTCAGGTCTAGCTAACTGAATTTATAAGAAGTTGTTGGTTCGTTCACTATATCATTGTTTCTTCAAGTTCTAAAAAACAATGTTTGAGGTGATGCAGCTGCTGAATCTGTTTCTCTCATTAAAAAGAGGAAACCTCACAAGGCAGGCACCTTCCCTGTTCCCCTCTCAGCTGTGTCCTTCATTGGCTGTGAACAGCCACCTGAGTGTGAGTAGGCTGCTTCTGCCACTCTGATCCTGGCCTCCAGGTCTACCCAGATAGGGGTCCCGGGGCCCCTCAATTCTTCCCCTAGTCTAGATACTCTACCCAGTAGCACTCTTGGGACTGGGGAGAGATGACAAAACACATTTTAAACATTTTGGTTCGCAGATGGATTTCCTAACAGCCATTTTCCATTGTGTGCCCTGCCTACTCATACCACTTCTAGAGCAAGGGAGCCCCTTTAAGGCTCTCCTGGCTTCCCCGAGCAATAGGCATGTTTAGTGGTAGTGCACCTGTTCTCTCTGTAGCCAAGGCCTCTCCCTTCCAGAAAGTGAATGCAGCTTTAGACTAGTAGGAAGAAAGGTGATGATGATGACGACGATGATGATTAGAGATAAGGTATTGCTCTGTCGCCCAGGCTGGAGTGCAGTGGTGTCATAATAGCTCGTTGCTACCTCTAAGGCTTGGACTCAAGCGATTCTTCTTGCCTCCATCTCCCAAGTAGCTGGGACTACAGGGGCACACCACCACGCCTGGCTAATTTTTTTAAAAGTTTTTGTAGAGATGAGGTCTTGCTATGTTGCTCAGGTTGGTCTCGAACTCCTGGGCTCAGGTGATCCTCCAGTTGCAGCCTCCCAAAGTGCTGGGATTACAGGTGTGCACCACTGCACCTAGCAGAAAGAGCATTATGTTGCACTGATGACTGATCCCAAAAGTAAAACAGGCCCGAGTCAGAAAAAAACTAGTTATCATTAAGTCTGCATATACGGCCGGGCGCAGTGGCTCACGCCTGTAATCCTAGCTCTCTGGGAGGCCAAGGCGGGCG